TTTTCTAAGAGTTCAAGGGCAAATATGACCCTTTTCAGTTCTACAATTAATGCATAATTGCATATAATACTCATTTATTTATAATTACACCCAAATCCGTTAGTATTTTTTATATGTTATGTTATTAATTTTTTTTATCACTATAAATACTAATGAAAATCATTTTCACTTCATAACATTCTTCCTTTTTTCATGCAAAAATTTTCTCAAATCTTCTTTATAGTTACTAATTTACTCCTTCATTTGAAACTTTTTTCTCCCAGGAACAATTCTTTCTTAATTCCTTTTTTTTTTGGATTTTGCCACTATTATTAATATATCATTCTTGTGCAAATTTTTTGTTATTAGGAAATAAAGAAGAATGGCGTCTTCTGAGAAGTATATGTACAATTTAAGCTCGAAAAATAGTCATTGTTACCTATATATCAAATTTATTTCTTTAATTATTTGTTGCAAGTTTGTACATAGTTATAATGTAGATTTAAATGTAATAATTTAATTTTTTATGGGGTGAATGTTCTATTATAAATTCTAGAAATAATTGTATTAATTTCTTATTGAATTTTGATAATTCTTACAAGCTTGAAGAATACGTTATTATTAGCTATGTATCGAATTTGTTGCTCTTTTTAAAATTAAATTATTGCAAGTTTGTATGTAGTTATAGTGTAATTGAAATAAGACTTGAAGAATACTTTTAACATTAGCTATATATCAAATTTTGTGACTTTTATTTTAATTAATTTGTTGCAAGTTAGTACGCAGGTATAATGCGAATTGAAATATAATAATTTTATTTTCTAAGTTAAATTTCCTATTATAATTTTAGGAATAATTATATTAATTTCATATTGAATTTTGGATGATTTTGTATATGTTTTCGAAACAAATGACATCCTTAGAAAATATGGGTGTCACACCCCTATTTTTTCCCCAAACGAAAATGTTTGAAAAATAGAGTTTCTCCAATTAAAGTGACATTTTGAAAAGGGATTATTTTATTTCAGAGTCGCCACTTGGAATTGAGTTTTGGTGTTCCAAGTCACCTAATTTTTACCCTAATCAAAAGGAAGTTGACTCTAATTTTTAATGGTCTGCGAACTAGAAGTCTGGATAAGAAATTCTATTGACCAAGGGGAAGGTGTAAGGCACCCCTCGAGTCCCGTGTTTCTAGCACAGTTGTTTCATTGACTTATATACAGTTGCTTCATTGACTTATATCTTGGCTTGACTTAGTTTTTGGATATAGTATACTTATTAGCTATACATTTACTTATGTCCACCTTCTTTGATTTATTGTAACTGTCTTGTTTAGATTTTTTAGAGTCCGGAGAATTTTAGTATTGTCGTTTTAGTGGGAGTCGATATTTGAATTATAATAGGAGGTAAACTTCTACGGGATTTAGGATTAATTTTAGAAAAAGAAAATGTTAAAGAGGTTAAGACCAATTTCTTGGAAAAAAATTTTCTTATTTTTTTTTTTTTTTTTTTTGCACGTTATTTTTTGTAGTTTTTACTTTCATTTTTTTTTCTTTTTTTTTAACATTCTGTTTCTTCTTCTTCTTACTTTTATTTTATTTTATTTTATTTTTGTCTAACAAAATGTTTCTCTTCTTTTTTTTCATTTAAATAATTTTTGGTTAAGTTTTGTTTTCCCTTTTTTATTTTACCTATTCTTTAATTTTTACTATTATTACTTTTTTATTCAATTTCATCTTTTGTTTCTTCTGTTTCTGCTTTTTTTTTTTTTTTATAATAGATGTTTATTTTATTTTTTATTTTTTACTCTTTTTTTTTTACAATCCGTTCCTCTTCTTTTTTTTTATCTTCATGTTTCTCTATTCTACACTATTTTTTCTTTTATTATTATATTTTTTCTCTGCTCACGTTTTATTTTTTAATTCTATATATTATTTTTAATTAATTTTTTTCCTTTAAACTAATTGAGAGAAAATAATATACGTAGTGATATAATAATTTTTTCTTCACCAAATGATGATAGTGTGAAATTACTAATAAAAGAACTATCTCACGTTGATGAATTAATGACTCACTCAAATGAACTAATGTTCATCTCCTCCATTTTTAATATTTCGGATACGATAAAAAATTATTCTAATAATTAATTGTCTCCATAAGTATGGCAATATTTATTTATTTATTAAACTCCAGAAACTCTAAATGATAACTAATACAGAATCTCCAACCAATTTACATGTAACTAAATTAAAGTCATAAATGAAGTTGTCAATTTGTACCATCAAATAAATGTACATAAACATGTTGAAATAAAACTAGGAGTAAACAACAACCATCTTTGGATCAAATTAGTGGATTAAATTAACGTCAGGTGTAAAAATAATTCGATGAGCAAATTTAAACAGTAGCAATTCATGCAATCAACAATATGACATGCGTCATAAAATAGTGACATATAACAATACATGTAATTTTAAGGACTACATAACATCATAATCGAATTCAGAACAATTATTTCATTGAACTATATAAGGAATTAGAATTACCTTTTCGTAAAACTTAATTCCAACAAAAGAAACCGCTACAATCTACTGATTTCCAAAGTTAATTATAACTAACTTTAAGGAGCCACGAACTTGAATCCACGAAAAAATCTTTCGGACTTAAAGTATATTGCTTCTTTTTTTTGTGTGCACTGTTATTCCATATAACTAATTCTCTATGATGGTGATGTATTGTGATATATATAGGAGTCCTCCCTTTTTTAGATACGTGGGGGTGTGGGTTTTTTTTGTTATTGACTTTTTCTTCCTTTAATTAAATAATACTAGCTTATTTATAAAAACTTAATTTCAAAAATAATATAGATTTTTTGTAATCTTTTAATTCTTTTTAAACAATTGAAAATAAAACTTACCTTAAAAAAAAGATTATATTTTTGTTGTTTTCAAATCTTTTAAAATAAACTTAATAAAATAAGAGAAAAGTCAAAATATTTAATTTATATTTATAAAAATATTTCAGCTCTAAAAATGGTGTAAAATTTTAAGTTCGGTCAAAAATACGTGTCTACAATGGGTATCTCTTTCATCTCAAAATAATTTATATCTAATTAAAATTAGGCAATAGAAGAGTGATGTAAAACTTTTCTTTGTCGGGCAATTTTATTAATCTTTTTATCTATTTTTCTTAATTATTTTATTTTAAAGATTCATCTTCATCTCTATAGTTTTTTTTTTGGTATTATACTGTAACTTTGATACCTGAGAGAGAATTATAACAAACTTAAAAAGCGCGTTGTTAAGAATTTTAAAAAAAGTTTAACATATGAAATTTTGCTTGATAAATCACTATCATTCATAAATCACAAGTATTTTAATATTTTTGACTCATCTATTTACCTAATAGTTTTTTTCTTTCTCCTATCAAATAGAATTTGATATTGTAGCAAGCCACACTATATATGAAAGCTGACATGTTAAAAATTAACAATATATATATCATTTAAAGAATTTTCAAAACAATCAACATTATAATTTAGGCAGAATGGTCTGATGGACCCTTATACTTGTATTAGATTGTAAAGTGAACCATTTTACTTATGACTTTGTCAAGTGAACACTTAAACTTAATGGAACACAATATTTTTAACCCTTTTTTCATTTGGAGATGGTGCGTGTAATGCACTCAAGTACACATAGAGTTCACGTCATTTTTTAATTACAAGTCAGAAATTAAATATTAAAAAATAAATAATATTTTTTTAAAAAGCTAATTTTCCTCACTAGTTGCACGTGCACCTCCTTTCCCATCTCTTTCATTCTCATCTGTAAACCCTAGCCGCCCCCAAAATCTAAACCCACCTCCCACTCCCATCCTTTTCCATCCGCCTTAGGCACAAAATATACACTTGCTGCCATAGCTATAGCTTGAGAAGTGGGTGTTCTCGTTTGGCAAGTTTCTAAAAAAGATGAAATTTCTCTTCTTGACCCTTGCTTGCAAAGCTATAAATGAATTTTGCTTCCCCAAAACAATTCGAGATTCAAGAATCCATAGAAAATTGTTGTGAATACATAAATCTCCAGCAACCAAGAAAGCTGCTTGGAGCAGCCGTGGAGGTTTTAGCAATGACTATGACAATTTTCCTCCTGATCTCCAGGCTCCAGCAAAGAGCTGATCGAAATCGAGTAAATGGACCAGCATCAGAATGATTCCTTGAGCTACTGCAATCAATATATTCTTGTCATCTTCGTGTAACAACCCAGGCGACGAGTCCAACAATGAGTTATTTGACTCGATCGTCTTGATCTGAAGTTGAGTTATCAGGTTCCTCAATTCAAACTCGTATAATCTTGTTATTTGAGCTTTCATTTTATAGAGAAGTTTTCAATTTAAATCTTCAAATTAAAAGCTCAAATTATGTAATCCATTTTAAATTTGAAGACAAATAAATCAACCCAAAGAATCATTCAAACAAAAAAGTTCTTCTTTCTTCTTTCCAATTTGTATGTTTGTTGTGGGATGTTTGAAGGAGAGTATTTTCTTTTAGAAATAGAGTGAGATTACAAAAAGAATTAATGGTGGAAAATATGGGCGGGACCTAATTTTTTCTCTACAGAAAAAGAGAGAAGAAGAAGGATATTTTTTTGTTTTTCCTATTTTTGAATATATATTTTTTTTCTGATTAATTGTGTCTTTTTAATGAAAAACATTAATTTCACGCTCTTAACTCGCGTGTGCCTCACACATTTTTCCAACTCAACAATTATACTGCCACATAAGCTTGGTCAATGGTCAGAGGTGTTTAAAATGTTGTGTTTCATTGAGTTTAAGGGTTCACTTGACAAAGTCATAAATAAAAGGGTTCACTTTACAATCCGATACAAGTATAAGGACCTATGAGACCATAAATGAGTAATCGCACAGTGCAAAGCGCGATCAAATTTACTAGTTATAAAAATATACCCCTATATGTAAGCTCTCACTTATTTTATTTTTTTCTCATAGTCCCCATTCCGGGATTATGTTTAATTCATACTCAAACTGAGGGACTATTTTTGCGAATTTGACAGTTCCCTTTTCAGTTGAATACTAAAACCCTACTCCCAATTGACAGCCACTGTGAAGTTGAAGGGAAGAAACAATGGAGTTAAACCTTAACAAGAAGAAAAAGCAAAAGACTGAGAACAGCTCAACCGGCAATTCTGAGGTTTTCGCTTCTTGCTCTTTCGAAAGTCTCGGTCTTCACACTACCTTATGCGAACAGCTCAAAGGTTTTCTCTTACAAAACCTGCAATTTTTCTAATAATTTCATGTCAAGTTTGAGAAGAAAAGATCTTAACTAGTTTAGGATTTAATTTTAATGTAAATTTGATAACAGAGAGGCTTGGATTCGAGGCTCCAACTCTTGTTCAAGCTCAAGCAATTCCTGTTATACTCTCTGGTCGACATGTGTAATTTCTCTACCCTTTGATGATATGTATTCATGTTCGATTTCAAGTTTTGTATTTGTTAATATCTGAATTGATTTTTTGGATTATTGTTAATGAATGGTGATAGGCTAGTGAATGCGGCTACCGGAACGGGGAAAACTGTGGCTTATTTGGCTCCAGTTATTCATCAGTTGCAGAAGTGTGATCCCAGGATTCAGCGGTCTGATGGTACTTTTGGTACGTGACATATTTGCTTGCTATCAGTTTCCTTAGATTTTTTATGTTTCAGAATCCCTGTTGAGGAAAGGCTTCTATCTAATAATGTACTCTCCATGGTTGTTACCTGAAGTATAATCATCTCGTGGTATTTTTCTATAACTGAAAGTGTTCCCGACAAGTCACCAGAGATATAATTCCAATTATGAGGTTAAAAAGACAAATAAAAACTAGTTCTTTATCGAATTTGAAAATGAAAATATGGTTGTCGATTGTCATTATTAGAATAGCTGTGATGGTATTTAGGCTAAAGGAAGTGTTTGTCTTGATAATAGGTGTAAGAAAATCAGCTACTTAGGTTTTATTTCTCTTGGGTGATTTAATTCGGGTAACTGATATATTTGGGATAGCGTTGGTTCTTGTGCCAACGCATGAATTATGCATGCAGGTATATGAGATCTTGCAAAAGTTGTTGCATCGTTTTCACTGGATTGTTCCTGGATATATTATGGGAGGGGAAAGCAGGAACAAAGAGAAAGCTAGATTGCGAAAAGGTAGGTGCATTTTGTTCCCTTTTATTTCTTGTCCTTGTAAATGAAAGTAGGTTCTGTTTTTCTACTGAATGTCTCCTTGTCTGTTGCTAACTTGCTAGTGCTAGGGCACTACAGCTTTTCAGCCTCCTGTTGGTCCCTTCATTCCCTCAGCCTTACACGAACTTATAAGAGAACATAAGATGGATTAGTGGTGTATTTTCAGAAGGGATTTTATTTGCCTTAGCTTTTGGACAGCTAACAACTAAGCCACTAAATAATACAACTAATAGAATAAAGTTGGTCACTTTGTCCAAATTAGATTCTATACATATGTTAGATTTGGTAATGGTGGGTTTCTCCACATTTTCAATGTTTTGTATAGCGTTGGTAGTACATTGCATTCTTACCTCTGCTCTTGAGATGCAAAATGCTGGTTGTTTTGGTTCATCGGAGTTACTTTTATAAATTAAAAGGCAGATTGCTTGCTAAAGTAGCAAGCTATTTTATGTTGTGTATGTTCTAGCCATTTTCTAAATATGCTGAAAATGGTGCTAAGATTTCCTTTTTGATCAGTGCCAGATTGCACACCTTTTATTCTTTTTGAGATGTATATTTTGTATATCAATTGCATAAGGGTTTCAGATGGATTTACAATGGTCCTAAACTGCTTTAGTCATCTCTTTTAAGTTTTAGGTTGGATATTTAAATTCTTTCATATGGTACTTGGTAGTGCCAAATTTTACAATTCTATTTTCTCACTTGTAAGTCTAGTGAGCTACTCTCTTGGATCTAGGGCCACCCTTCATCCTATGAGTTACTTCCTCTGCTCCGAGCCAAATGCTATCTACTCTTGCTGCTCTATGCTCTCTACATCAAATACTTAGCCTGTCGAGCCACTATGTTTCTTCCACCTCACATTTTAGCTTGTTTGCCGCTTTAGGCACCTCAAAAACTAATTGAGTATACAAAAGATGGGATGGAAAATAGAAAAAGTTTCAGCTCACTTGTAAACCGTAGGTTAGGTTGCATGTAAAGGCACTCACGGATGTTAGATATATGCAATGTACTACAATTGTTTAGGAATTTTGAAGTTGGTTTATAATGGTTCAAGCATGACATTCAGTTTTGGATTGAACATTCAGAAGCACCCCATGGTTCTCTCTTCTCCTTACTATGCTCTCCCATCTTCCTTTCTATCATGGTTTTATGGTAGCTTTCTTTGTTGTTTCGAACGGGTCTTGTTCAAAACAAATTGCGTGTATTTCACTCTAAAACTGATATTTTGGAAGCACAAGTGGCTTGATGAATGCGACTTCGATGCATTTGATGCCTCTCAGGAATTTTTTTAGCAAATAAACCACAGGGGAGATGGAATTTGCTGGTGTACAGACTATGACTCATGAAGGTCAAAGATGTGAAAAACATGTCCTTTATTTCCTTACCCCTAAATCTTTAACAAAAGGAATGGGAGTGGTGGATGACTAGTCATTATTAGCACCCCCACAAAGCTTCTGATTCCAGAAATTTCAGTGTTACTGCACTCAGAAGCTACACTTGGGATTGTATCATGTATAGTCTCCAGGTTAATTTGGAAAAGAGTGGAATAGTCCAATCCAAGTCCACTATAAATCCATTTGAAAACAGTTTTACAAGGTATTTGGGGCAGCATGTATCTCAAGCATTCCTTTTTGTGAACTGGTGGTTTTAATTATCTGACCCTTATATATAGATGTATTTTCTCTATCCTAGTTCTTTTACTTTTGTTCCATACAGCCTATGCTATTCTCTTTTGCTTTTGTGGATCGAACAGTCTCATTCATCTCCTTCCTCATGCAAGTCACTTGAACTTTTCTGTTGTGTGCCTTTGGTGGTCTTGCTGTATGATGTTTAATATTGATCAGAGTTGTCTGTCTTAATACTCCTGGAGAGTTTTCCTCTTCTGTGTTTGGAAGCATTTCAAATGCCTCATCATAGTGCTCATTCTAGGTATATCTATTCTTGTTGCAACTCCTGGACGTCTTTTGGATCACCTAAAAAACACATCATCATTCTCGTACACAAACCTGCGCTGGATAATTTTTGATGAAGCAGACAGGTATATTTATGTTTTATCTCTCAATGGACATGCTCTTTGACTAAATTCATGTCTTAACCCCTCAATTTGCATATATGCTTTATAGAATTCTGGAGCTTGGATATGGTAAAGAGATTGAAGACATACTTAATATTCTGGGCTCAAAACAACAAAAATCTGTTGGCAAGGGTAACACAACTTCACAGATTTCTGAGGTTCAGAGGCAAAATGTGTTGTTATCTGCTACATTAAATGAGAAAGTAAATCATCTCGCGGAAATTAGTTTAGATAACCCAGTGATGGTTGGGCTTGACAAGAAAATAGAGCTACAATTAACTCATCAAGACTCCAAACCAATGGAATTTAATGGGAATGATATATTAGAAAAAGATGGCAAACCACTGAGCTCTTCAACTGAAGAATATAAACTTCCAGCTCAGTTACTTCAGAGATATATTAAAGGTATGATTAGGAAGTATACATTCACGAATTACTAAAAAAACTATTTATTCACGTATCACCCTGATCACTTGCTGTATGATCATAATATTCTTATGGTATCTTATTTGCAGTCCCCTGTGGTTCACGGCTTGTAGTGCTTCTTGCAATTCTAAAACATCTGTTTGAGAAGGAACCTTCCCAGAAGGTAAAGCAATTCTGCCAAACAAGCAATTTTGATTTGTAAAAATGGTAGATTAATCGTTCACTGCCATCAAGCTTTTTATCATCAGAAGTTGAGCATATTACCAATGTACATTGTTACACGGTACAGGTTGTGGTGTTCTTTTCAACATGTGATGCTGTAGATTTTCATTATTCATTGGTGAGTGGATTTCAGTGGCTCTCTCGTCAGCAATCAGATACAGATGTCAAACAACTGTTTCTGAAATGCAACACACTTCGGTTACATGGGAATATGAATCACGAAGACAGAAGAACTACATTCCATGCTTTTAAAACAGAAAAATCAGCACTTCTGCTATCCACTGATGTTGCTGCTAGGGGCTTGGACTTTCCAAAAGTTAGGTGTATTATACAGTATGATCCTCCAGGAGAGGCAACTGAATATGTGCATCGGTAAACTCTCTCTCTGCCCTCCCCATTTGAAATTTTTGATTCAAAAAATATTGGTCAGTAAATCGTGTTCAGTCCCGAATTTTTTTCTCTATACTTTTACTTAAATGGTGACAGTTTGTTTCCTTCATGTTGTGGTTGCACATATTTCTTCCACCCTCTTCCCCAGGGACCCTAAATTTCCAAGTTCCATCAAGGAGATCAAATTTCCATGAGCCAGAAGCACTACTAAGGGTGTGCTTGGTATGGAAGAAAATATTTTTAGAAAATGTTTTTCAATTTTCCCATGTTTGGTTGGTTGGAAAATATTTTGTCTAGGAAAACAAGTTCCTTAAAAATGAGAAAATGACTTCCTTAAGCAAAGTAGGGAAAACAAGTTACATAAGTGACATTGCAAGTTCATTATCTCTTCTTCATCCACACAACACCTCCACGCCCTCCCCATGACCATCCCAACCCCGCCCC